AGCCGTACTGGCCTCAGCTTTGTAGCTGAAGCTTTTTTTCCAATTGCTTTGACCAGTGCTGCATCAATTAACGGTTAGCCTATTTTCGGTTCTATTGTCCATTTCGTCTCGTTGCGCCTAAAATTTTCATGGTTTTGATGCACATAAAATGAAAGCCAAAAATGTGCCGCATTCCTTACATTTGCTTACTCATAAGTGGTACATCATAAGCTTTAGGATAATTACAGGCAATTTGATCTCAAAAACTGAATGACTGACTGAAGTTTAAAAAGCAATCCGTTCTAAATTATAGTTTTCCGTAAAATATCTGGTGAACGGGCAGTTGGAGCACTCACGGGAGCGTCAAATTGCGAGCCTAAAAGAACAGGCACTTCGAACCAGCTGTCGTCTAACGTAGAAAGCAGCAGGTATGCAGTTAAACATTTCTGAAGATTTTTTCCAAAAAACTTTGCAGTCAAAACTTTTCAACTTAGAAATGAACCTCCCTATTCGTTCTTCCTCTTTTTATCCCCTTCATTTTGCTATTGTTCACTGTCTGTGAAAGTAAAGATACTGAAAACCAGCCAGAGCAGTGGCATCTGTTAATGGGTGGCATTCGCTGATGAAGCTGTCCTCTTCAAAGATTTCGTAGAAACAGGCTGATGGTAGGTTTGTGCCAATATCAATTCTGTGGTATGTGCCAGTACCAATTTATCATCAAAACGAATCGAAGAAGATTATTGTTCCACTGAGATTTCTTCGATTTTCGAAAGTGGCGTTTTTGACGTTGTTTGGACTTCTCAAATTTTTGAGCGTTTTTTTTTTAAACTAAATAATGTTATTGCAGGCGACGTGATCTAAGCTTTAATTCTCTGCATTCATCAGAAGGAGTGGCTGACGATGAGCCGCTGTCACAAGGTACTGCTGCTCAAATACACGATTAAGCAAATTTTTCACAAAAAAAAAGTCAAGTGGCTTTTTTATTCTCCGATAATTTTAAATTCGAACTAGCAAATCGGCTCCAATAATTGCGTCATGACCAAAAATCCAGAAGATGATTAATTTTGCCGAGTCATTTAAAAAAAAGGATTCACATTCTCTTTTCTCTAAACTAGGCTTCCCAGAAATATTATTATTAATCAGGTGGCTGCAGGCAATCCAACTTATTACCAACTTGCTTGTAAGCAACTCTCGAAAAACGTTGTCAGTTTTATCAGCCGACTGTTTCTGTTGGAATTTGCTACCACTGTGGCTCAACTTCTGGTGAGCCACAGTGGTAGCAAATTCCAACAGAAACAGTCAGCTGATAAAACGTGAACGTGGAGAGTTTAAGGATTTAGGTTTTGCAATTGCTATGAATGGTGAGTGTAAACTAAGCCCGACCGCAGTGCCCCCATTCAGTCTTAGTATATTTCTGCTGCAGCCGTCACAGTGACGAGGCCCAGCTGCAGCACTGATTAGAAATGTATGCGACTTGATGGACCGAAACATTCCAATTCAGATTTTATTTTTATCTTATATTTTTCACTTTTATCTCTTTACAATCTTTCATAATCATAAAATATCTAAATTTAAAATACGAGCAACGAATAAATACGGCGCTGCTTGACCCAATGGGGTTTGACCGTGCAGCATGCACTGCAATCTTATATATTCGGATTGGAAAATTGTTGTGACCGGTTGACTCGTAATTCGCACTGCTCATTTCAGTGCCAATGCGAAAACGTTCAGCCCTACTGCAAGCTCCATTTCTGAAAAAAGGCAGCAAAAATTTGAAGCCGTTATGGACACTCTTTTCGACCAGTCCTATTACGAATTCGGATGAGCACGCCGGATCGCCGTCAGCTACGCTGTCGAATAACTCACTGGAATACGACGACTTGTTTGAGCTTTACTCGGAAACAGACTGCGGAGGTTAACTCTATTCATATTGTTTGCACATTTTGTGATTTTTCCTTGCAATTTTTTTCTGTTCCCATTTTTTTAAGATTTTGCATCCTAGCGGTACTTTTTTTACAACAGTTCTTTCTTCATGATAATTTGGGAATTTTGAATTTTTTTACTCTTATGATATTTTTTTATGGCACTCCCTTTATGGAATTCTTTTATTTTTTGTTTCACTGAACTTTTGATCACCCTTCTCATAGAAACTGCAAGTAGCACCTGATATCGGATAAGTATTTATCTGGTAATCATAAGAATGAGTAAAATCTTCAACCAGA